GTGGGCCCCCCTGGGCCCTCCAGATGGCCTCCCCGGCACCCGCAGCCAGCGCGCCCAGTTCCCATCTCGGTATGAGCAGAGATGGCAAAGGAAAAGGAACAGATGGCGGGGACACCGAGTTCTGTCCCCAGCCCCAGACAGGCTGGCCAGGGAGTGGCTCGGGGAAGGGGCAGGGCCAACCCTGGTCCTGAGGAGTCCCTACCGTGTCTACTCCCCATCAGGGAGCAGGAAGGACAGCATCTCGGAGACCCTCGTGGGGCCGCCCCTCCGTCTTCTTCCCCAGACCACGGGCTCTCTGCCAAACAGGCTGGCAAGGCGTCACCCACAGGCCCCTGACATGTGGGCGATCTGTCCCCAAGCTGGGGCAAAGCAGTGTGTGCCCAGGAAGGGGTGCAGCTGGGTTTTGGCAATTCAGTGGGGGCCGGGTGGCAAGAAGGGGAGTCGAGGCCGCGAGCGCCTCTCCTCCGCCCCAGCTCCGGCCTCCTGCGGGCCTGCTGGGGAGGGGGCCTCGATCCCGAGGCCAGGGGCACAGCGCAGGCATGGGCTGGGGCCCCTGGGTCACCGGCTCTCCTGGCCTCACCTGGCTGCACCCCCTACTCTAGGGTCACGGCAGGGTTGATCGGGGAGGTGGCCCCTGAGCTGTCGTTGGTCCCCGCTGCTTCCTTCTCCTTCTTGCCGCTGTACTGGCCAATGAAGGAGCCGTCCTCGTTGAACTGGACGTCCACGCTGCCCCCGTAGTCGGCCAGGCTGTCGTCACTGCCCAGGGGCTTGATGTCTCCGTTGAGAGACGGCTGGCTGCTGCCAAAGGCCTTCTCCTCGTTGTCACTGCAGGGAGGGAGCTGCGGGTGACAGGGCTGCCAAGCTAGCCAGAGCCCCAGCGGGAGCCTTCCCCTAGCTCCGAATGTGCGGCCGAGCAGCTCTGACAGCCTTGGCAGGCAGCGCTGTGGCGTCTCATCCTTGACACACGCCAGGGAGCCCAGGCTTAGGCAACTCCAGGATCCTGGGGACTGTGAGGGAACAAGCCGGCACCCAGCCTGGGACTCATGGGCCTGGCTCCTTGCCTGGTCCCCTTGTGTCACGCATGTGAGCCTGACAGGGACACCAGTCCAGCTGTCAGTCCTTGCAGTGCCCGCTGTCTGGGGCCTTCCTTGGGAAGACGGGGGCTGGGCGTGACAGGAGGCCTAGAGGCTGGGATGTCAGCATGGGGAGGTGGGGCTGGGGTGTACTGGCTTCTCCCTGAGACGAGGAGCTGCAGGGCCAGACAGCCAGAAACAACAGTCCTACGGACAGCGGTGCTACAGGCATGCACTGTGTGGGCTGGGGGGAGGTCCCGCTGTCAGGGTCTGACAGGCAGCCCTGCCCCTGCCTTACCTCTCCAGGGACCTGGAGTCGCCCGGCAGCACAGAGAAGAGAGAGAGAGTCAGAGGTGAAAGCCAGGGCGGGGCTGCGCCCACACCTGCTCCCCCAAACTCACCTGTACTCGCCGAAGGTCTCGTCTTTCATCGGCCGGGCCTCAGAGTCCACCTGCGTGTCCTCCTTGTCTTTCACTGGAGAAATACAGAGGAGGGTCAGCTACCTCTCTTGCCCCAGCCCGGCTCTGGGCTCCGGGCCCCTCTGTGCACCCCCAGCGCCATCCGACAGCACTTAGAAGGCAAGGAGCCTCGAAGGGCAAGCCGCTCACCCCAGGCAGGCCTGGCCGCCGTCTGCCGGTCTTCCCAGCCCCTGTGGCCCCCACCATGCCAATGCCGTCCTGCCAGGAGCTCGGGGCCTCCAAGGGGTGAGGTGGCCCATGGTTCCTCGCCCCTGGGCTCTGCCCCCCGGGCCCAGCCAGGGCTACCTGAGTACTTGCCGCCCTTGCTGCGCTTGATGAAGCACAGGATGAGCAGGATAAGCAGCAGGAGGATGATGGCGCTCACGAAGCCGATGAACCAGCCTTCGGTGGCGAAGCCGGCAGGGGGGAGCCGCATGCGGCCTGCGGGGCGGGGAGCCGGCAGGAGACAAGTCCAGGCCTGGTGAGACGCCAGGCACCGGCGCTGCGGCCCCTCCCTGCTGCCCGGAGCCGAGGCTGACCGCGGGCAAGCTGGGGCCCTGCCCTGACATGCATGCCTTCCTAGCTTGGGGCCCTCTGGGTGGGGACGGGCGGGGGGATGGCGTCGTGAAAGGGGCTGATCCAGGGACCTGGACTTCCCCCACACGGGCCAACGGGCGCCCAGGTCTGGGAGGTGGCTGTGCCGGGGACAGAGGGAGGCCCCCTGGCAGGCGGCAGAGCTGGGGACCTCACCGGTGCCGTTGGTCTTCACGGCCATCTGGCGCAGAAGCACCCTCTCCTTGAGCAGGCGGATCTCGTAATCGGTGTCGGGCTGCAGGTCCCACTGCGTGTATGAGCTCTGGTTGTAGCTGACGTACTGCGGTGGGAGGTTAATGACCCCCTTCTCCTCTGCGGGGGCAAGAGGGCAGAGGCAGGACTGACCGTTAGCGCGAGGTGGCCCTGCTGGTCCCACTCCCCTTTCTTTCTTTCTTTCTTTCTTTTTTTCTGAGTGGGAGTCTCATTCTGTTGCCCAGGCTGCAGTGCAGTGGCACGTTCACGGCCACCACAGTCTCAACCCGCTGTGCTCAGGCAATCCTTCTGCCTTAGTCTTGCAAGTAGCTGGAACCATAGGCGTGCACCACCACACCTGGCTGTTTTTGATTTATTATAGAGACGAGATCTCAACAAGTTGCCCAGGCTGGTCTCGAACCCCTGGGCTCAGGCAATCTTCTCACCTCTGCCTCCCAAAGCGCTGGGATTACAGTTGTAAGCCACCACACCCGGCTGTTTTTGATTTACTGTAGAGACAAGGTCTCACTAAGTTACACAGGCTGGTCTTGAACCCCTGGACTCAGGCGATCTTCTCGCCTCTGCCTTCCAAAGTGCTAGGATTCCAGGCGTGAGCCACTGCTTCCGGTCTCAGCCCCCTCTTTCTTTCTTTCTTTTTTTTTTTTTTTTGAGTTGGAGTCTCACTCTTGTCGCCCGAGGCTGTAGTGCAGTGGCATGCTCATGACCACCGCAGCCTCGACCTGCTGGGCTCAGGCAATCCTTCCGCCTCAGCCTTCCAAGTAGCTGAAATTACAGGTACATGCCACCACGCCCAGCTAATTTTTTGATTTATGGTAGAGACGAGGTCTCCTCAAGTTGCCCAGGCTGGTCTCGAACCCCTGGACTGAGGCAATCCTCTTGCCTTCACCTTCCAAAGTGCTAGGATTACAGGTATGAGCCACCGCGCCCGGCCTCTTTCATGCTCACCTCCTGAGGCTCTGAACCAGATATGGAACCCAAAGTTGCACTGGCCCTCTTTGGGAACCCAGGAGACGACGCTGTAGTTTTCACCTGCCGTGGCTGAGATATTGCCAAAATCTGGGATACCTGGGGGGTGCAGGGGAGGGAGGAGGCTGTGGCACCTGCCTGGCAGCCTAAGACTCTCCCGGACCCGCTGCCGGCCAATAGGTTGCCCCTCCAGCTCACCAGACAAAGCCATAGTGCCGCCTTCGCGAACGATGGCCTCACCAGGGCCCTCCTTCGTGGTGGCCTGGAGCTGGAAGCGGTACCGCAGGTGGGGGCTGAGGTTGGTTAGGTTGTGCGTCCGAAGCTCGGGGTCCGGGAGGTCGAAGGACAGCTGCTCCTTGCCCCCCTCATCCACTGTGGGGACAGGCAGGGTTGGCTTTGGCTGCCGGCACTGCCCTCTCCCCACATTCCCTCTGCCTCCCGGCAGGGCCCACGACACGCACGGGGGTGATAGGAGAGCACGTAGCCAGTGAGCACGCCGTTGTGACTCAGTGGAGGCTGCCAGTGCAGCAGCAGGCTGGTGTCCGACTGGCACTCCAGGTGCAAAGCCTCCGGGTGGCCGGGCACTGCGGGCACAGACATGAATGCAGCAGGTAGGTCCTCGCCCAGGTCTGGGAAGAGGGGCGGGGGCAGAGGCGGGGCGCAAGACTTACCTCCCTCTGGGGTCTTGAAGGTGAACTCGCTGGCGGGTCCCAACCCCCGCCCGTTGAAGACCTGGACCTCCAGGTGATAGGAGCTGTAGGGCCGCAGGCCACTGAGGGTGACGCTCGTGACATTGGGGGGCACCACCACGTGGCCCCTGTGGACGTGCCTCTTGCTGTGCCTCCTTTGACTGCCCTCCCACCAGTACGTCACCTGCACAGGCGACAGGAGACCTCACAGGGGCGGAAGGTGTGCAGCACGGGCCCCCTCCCTGTCCACGCTCCCCAGTGCCCTTGACCGGGACCCCTTCCTCCCAACCCAAAACCTCCAGGAGAGCAGCCGGCCAGTGGCAGAGCCCCGCCCCCATCCTGCCATTTACCTCTGTGGTCACCTCCCTCAGCCCTCATGCCTTGGACCCTTACATTGTATCCCCGGAGGTGACCCTTGACCTGGGCCTGGTCCACAGGCCACCACCTGACCAGCACGGCACTTGAGTTGAGGATCTTGATGCCTTCCAATTCAGGGCTTACCTGGGGGTCTGAAAACAGCCCGATGACTTGGAGAGAGCCCTAGGCTCTTGGCCCAGCCCGGAGCCCGCCCACAGGGGTTGGATTCGGAAGATCTATGGCGGTGGGCGGGTGTGAGGGGCCGGGCGTTGGCACGGTCTCAAGATCTCTCCCTGAACTACTCATTTGTCCCAACGGCGAAAAGAGTAACACACAAAAGGGAAGTAGAACAGACCCGGAGCGGGTGACTATAGCTAACCGGGTGACTACAGCTAACCTCGGTCACGTTCCAGGCTCAAGGGAAGGGAAGGGGCGGGACAAGCAGAGCGAGGAGACGCTGTAAATGGCAGCGTCTGCTGACACAGCTGGAATGCTGTGCCAAGTTGAGAAATGTGTGGTGCCAATTCGAGGAGTGCGGGATTTCATAACGTCACTCCGCTTATGGAAGAGCATAACCTCACTCGGGTGAGAAGCGCACCCAAGTACAGAGAGGACGGGAGTGGGCGGCGCATGCGCACACGGTGACACGCAGGCAGGCTCCACCCTGGGTGTGGGCGGGGCCGGCAGATACTCACAGTCCTCCCCTGAGTAGCCCACGGTGACCTGGGGCTCGGGGCCCTTGCCCTGGCTGTTGACGGCCTGGACTTTGATCTCATAGGGCACAAAGGTGGAGGTGTTGGACACCACCAAGAAGGGGTCGCTCACGATCTGCTCCTGCCAGGCCCCACGCGTCCCCTGAGGGCGCCACTGCACGCGGTACTGAACCTCGGGGGCGTTCCAGTCCATCCACCGGAGGGGCTGGAAGAGGCCAGCGAAGAGGAGCTGGTTGGCCAGAGCACTGGCCTCCTGTGAGCCGCGCCCCGGCCAGATTCGCATCCTCAGTCACTGGTCTCCTCCTTAGCACAGCCAAGGGGGAGCAGCAAACTCCTGGGTCCTGGCCTCATGTCCAGGTGCGAGCTCAGCCGGGAACTCTCACCTTCCACGTGATAATCATGTTGTTGGTCTCATTCCCTTCCCCCTTCACGTCCACAGGGTTCCTCTCCGGGGCTGGAAAGCAACATGTCAACACATCAATGCTCATTCTGGCCCCAAGAGAGCCCAGCTTCCCCCAGATCCTCCTAGAAATTTGGAAGCAGAGGTGCTTGGGGCTCACCTCTCCAGCCGCCCCCCCGCCCACAGAGCCCGGGGCCCCAGCTACTGATGCCCCGTTTCAGGTGGCAAAAACTTCCCTGGCTCACCTGCCTCAGGTGTGACCACAGTCTCAGAGGCCGGGCTGGGCTCCCCAGGGCCATATCTGTTGATGGCAGTAACCCTAAAGGTGTAGTGGACATACGGTGACAGCTTGAGGGTGGTAGAGGTCTGGTTCCCTGGCACTTTGCCCAGACTGTACCATTTCTCAGGCGCCATTTCCTTGTCCTCAAATTCAATGTCATACTCTGCCAAGAAGTAGACCAGCAATGGAGTCATCCGTGTGTGGCGTAGGGGTGCAAGGGGCTCTCTCCAAGTACCCAGACCAACCAGCATTTCCATGAGCCTCCCCCCGCCCCACACACAGGTGCGTGCCCCAGCAAGGCGGGCAGTCCTCAGGAGCAAGGAGGGACCCAGGTGGAGGGAGGGCCTCAGCACCACGCTCGGGGCTCTTACTCTCAATGGGGGCGTTGTGGTCTTCGGCAGGGCGCCAGGACAGGCGCACCTGGCTCTGCTTCAGCAGGTGCAGGTCGGACAGCTCCAGCTGGGGCACTGGCCCAGGGCTCCCTGAGGGCACCGAGAGTGGGTGTTCGGGCCTCCTGAGAGCCACAGTCCTTCCTGGCTTGAAAGGGCCCGGCAGTGCGACTCTCATCGAACTTGGGTCTCCGGACGCCCCCAGGCCACCGCCCCAGGACTTACCCACCACCAAGAGCTGGGCCCTGCTCTCCACGGTGTCCAGCTCAGTGCTGGCAACACAGCTGTAGTTCCCCTGGTCGCTGTAGTCCAGGCTGTGAATGACCAGGCGCCCGTCCTCTATGAAGTACCTGGCGGGGCATGCTTGTCCTTCAGTGCCCAGCAGACCCACCCTTCCTGCCATCCCCACCCTTCCCCCTCCTGCCTCCTTTCCCGCTTCCCGCTAGAACCTTCCCCCTCAGAGCAGGGGGCTCTCTCGTGGCCGAGCCCGAGAGGTCAGGACTTCCAGCTCTGCCCACTCTGCCCCTCCCCTGAAGGCCTGGGCCGGGGCCGGGCCCTCACTTATCGCTGTCTCCACGCTCCTGGAGGTCTCGACCATCGCCACGCCAGGTGATGCTGGGCTGCAACGAAGAGTCAAAGGAAGCCTGGCACGTGAATGTCACCCTTGAGCCTTTCTTCTCGGTTGCGTTCTGGGGTCCCTGCGTGATCCTAGTTGCATCTGAGGGAAATTAAGGGGGAGGGTCACTCTGGTGTCCTCCAGAAACCCGGACTCTCCTCCCAGAGGCACTGCCAGTCGTGGTGGGAGCCATCCTACCTTTAACCTGCAGGTTAGCTACAATGGTCACATTGTTTTGGTCATTGGCGGCCTGGCAGAAGTAGCGTCCAGTGTCATTGGCTTGGAGGTCTCGGATGCCCAGGGTTCCGTTGGCATAAGGGAAGAAGCGTTCGTCCTGAAGCACTGTCGTTCCGTCCTCATCCAGCCTAGAGCAAGCAGGGCGGGCCTGGCTCAGACCAGTTGCCCCAGGCTCCCTGCCGGCCCCGGCTCCCTGAGCCAGAAGATGCCTGGAGGGGCCCCCACTGGGATGGGGCACTCACCACTGGACGCTGGGCACAGGGGCTCCGAAGGCCTTGCACAGAAGGTAGGTGGTGCTGCCCTCAACAGCCATGTATGTCTGATTGTCGGCAGTCAGGATCTTGGCTGGCAGCTCTGGGGGAGGAACCATCTTAGGAGTCAGGACAGGACTCAGGACACAATTTGAGAAGCCAGCAACTCCCTGGCATCCTGAGACCCAAGAACCCTGCCCATGTTGCTGCCCTGCTCCCAGTCCAGGCCCCCGCTGGGCCAAGTCTCTCTCTGCCTGTAGACACACCGGCCTCCACCTCAGATGTGCCTCCGGTCCCAGCCACCAAAGTTTTACCAACTACTGGAGGTCCAACTGACAGTCTGCCTCTCCCCTAAAGCCTTCCCTGAGGCTTCAGGAGAGGAGCCACCCCGGCTGTCCTTGGTCACATCCTGTCTGGCGTGAGCCTCCGCTCAGTCCTGGCGACAAGATCCTGCCCTTCCTGCACCTCCCCGCCCCCACTGTCATAAGGCTGGGTGAGAAATGGGGGTGAAGGAGAAAGGTCGCCCCAGTCGGCCCGGAACACACCAGCCGCTGGCTGAGCCAGTCTGGGGGCCGTGCAGGGACAGGCTGGGGGTTACAAGGCAAAAGGGAAGGGCAACGACGCAGCTGGTTGACACTCACGGACAACATAGATGTAAGCGTTGGCCAGCAAAAGCCCATGCCGGTTGCGCGCCTCGCACTGGGTCACCATCGTGTCACTGGGCTGCACGTTGCTCAGGATCAGGGCTCCGTGATGGATCCGGTATTTCTGGTCCTTGGCCAGCTCTGTGCGTGCAGCAGGCCGGAGCCTTGAGCTGCGTGGAGGCCCCCCCTTCTCCCTCTCCCACAGTACTCAGGGCTCCCCACACCCCCTGCCGCTGCCCAGGGCTCTGCTCACCCTCCACCGGGATACCGTTGATCCTCCAGGTGACCTCTGGCTGGGGCCGACCCTGGACCTGGCAGTCCAGGCGGGCCGTCTCTCCTGGCCCATACAGATGGCTCTGGGGCTTGTGCAGCCAGTAAGGGGCAGCTGTGAAAAAGGAAGAGCCGCCCTGAGCCCCTGCCCCCCCCCATGACGGTGGGCATCGCAGCGGCCATCATGGGAGGACGTTCTGGGGAGCCTTGCTAACTGGAAGGGGCGTGCCTGGCAGGGGCAGGGGCGCCATACCCTCCACAGTGACGTAGTAGATGTGCCGGGCACTGCCCAGTGAGTTCTCGGCCAGGCAGTGATACTCGCCGTCGTCCTCCTCACCCACATTCAGCAGCTGTAAGGTCTTGTTGTGGTTCTGGTAGGTGACACGGTCAGCAGGCATGGGGCCGCTGGGGCGCAGCCACTTGATGGTGGGTGTGGGGCTGCCCAGGAGGCCAAGACAGGAGAGCAGAGGGGAGAGAGGACAAGCGTGCTCACCCCGGGCCCGCCCTCGCAGAGGCCTGCGCCCTCGCTGGACCGCCCCCCACCCCCCCACCGCAGCGCCCGGACTCACAAGCCCTCAGCGATGCACTCCAGGACCAGTGGCTGCCCTTGCAGGGCCACCAGGTGGCTGCTGGAGTTGGTGGGGAGCAGCAGGCGTGGCCTCCTGTCAATCATGCTGTTGGCTGCCAGGAGAAATGGGGTGGGTGGCCTGCCCACTCCTCCCTCCACCCACGGAATCACAAGCCTGGGTGACTCTGGACACCCCAGCCACCCCCAGGGCCTCCGTTTCTTCCTCTGGTAAAGGGGGTGCCCGCCTCTGCTCTCTCCACCTGGGAAGGGGTCTGGGCAAGGTTGAGGCGGGAGCCACGCTGTTCTTGGGGAAGATGGGACAGTCGAATGGCTCTATGGTGGGAAGGGCCATGCCTGAGGGTGAGAGGAGTCAGGGAGGGAGGTGTCAGAGCCTTTGAGACTCACTGGCCTTGACCCGGAGGTCAATGGGTTCTTTCTGGATGATGGTCCTGGTGCCCAGGAAGTGGGCGTGGCAGATGTAGTCTGAGTGGTTGTCCGAGGTAAGCACGTTGGCAAAGTAGAGGTTGCCATTCTGGCCCATCGTCACCCGCTCATCCTGTTTGATGTGCAGGATCTCTGCAGGGGACAGGGGGCCGCGGTCAGGACCCTGGCCCGGAAGACAGCGCTAAGGACCCCCGCCCCAGGCAGCAGCCCCTGGCCGGCACCCACTGCTATTCATCCAGTAGATCCGAAGCGGCTCCGCACTGGGCGGGGGGTGGCAGGGCAGAACCACTGACTCCCCCTCCTCCACCTCGACGGGTTTCACTGTCTCCTTTGGCCACTTGGGGGCACCTAGAAGGGACAGAGAGGCTGGCACTCCCCTTCCGGCGCAAGCGGTGCCAGGCAGGAGAAAAGAGGAGGAAGGCGGTGGTGAGGGTGGATGAGGAGGCCGGGAGGAAGGTCACAGAAAAGGGAGCAGGGACGCCGGGTCCTTTCTGGGCTCACTGGGAGGAGAGGGTGAGCAAGGAGCCAGTGGCCAGGAAGGGTTAAGCCTCCAGTTCTCAGCTGGCCCTGCTCACCCAAGAAAGGATGGGGGGCAGGCTGAGGCCGAGGTGCGGCGATGGGGGAGGGGAGCTGCAGAAAGATGCGGGAGTCACAGACCCTTCCATCATCCTGACACGGAAACCATGGCGACGGTTCCCAAGGTAACTGGAGGGGCGGGGAGGAAAGGAGAGCGCTCCGAAGGCACAAAGCTCAGGGAAAGGGCGACACAGATAAAGACAGAGCCCAGAGCAGAGCTGCAGTCGGAGGCAGAGAGGAAGAGGTGGTGGGCAAGAAAGACGAGGAAGGAGGCAGAGCAGAGTGGGAGAGCGAGCGTGGGGCGACGCGTCGATGGCTGGGGAGTGGGCAGAGGGGATCCCAGAGCCAGGCCCAGGCCAGGCAGTGACTCAGACAGACAGGGCCACGTATCAATCATCCACCCATTCAGCAGAGCCACCGGCCGCCACCAGCCACCAGCCACCACGAGGGGGCATGGAGAAAGCCTGGGGGGTGGAGGGGGATGAGGTGAGCTGAAGTGCAGGGGAGAGTGAGACGGGCGCGGAAGGCGGAGGCTGCAGGAGGAAAAGGAGGAGACACCAGGGAAGGCGGGGCATCGGCAGGCAGGGCACGCAGGCCCCCTGCACACTCAACACCTGCTGAGGGACTCCTGCAAGGGCTCCCGGGACCTGTCTAAGGGAGCCTCCCCTGTGCCCAAGCCCTCCCGGATCCCGGCCTGCCTCGCACCCTCGGCCATGAGCTGGATCTCATGGGACATGGCGGTGCCCAGCTTATTGCTGGCAAAGCAGCGGTAGATGCCCTGGAATCGCTGGGCAAAGTTGCTGTTGTTGCCGGCGATGGTGAAGGAGCCGGAGTGGGGTGACTGCAGTACAGTCACACCCAACTCTTCCTTGGGCTTGAAGTGGACACCATCCCTGGTCCAGCGGAACCTGCGGGCAGAAATCGACTCAGGGGCCCTGGGCCCTGGAACCGCAGGCAGGGGCTGGAACGGGCTGGAGAGGGCGAGGACTCAGGGCCGTGAGGGACGTCTGGGGCTTCTGTGCTCTGAAATCAGGCTGCCTGGCGAGGCCTGAGGGCTGGAGGCTGAGGTCAGCAGTCAGCAACCGGGACTGAGAGGGTGGAGGTCACTCACTGCACTTCCGGTTTGCCACTGGCCTCACACTTGAGGCTGATGTCATCTGTGGGGAAGACAACCAGGCGCCGTGGAGACTGTTCCGTGATGACAGGCGGCTCCATCACTGAGGACATAATGGGGAGAGCAGTGGTGAGGATGGTGTCTGGCTGACATCGGGTCTCAGTCCCTATCCCACGTGAGGGAAGCAGGGTCCAGAGCCCTTAGAGGTCATGGGGGGAAGCTTGTGGGTCATGAAAAGAGGGACAGAGGGACAGAGAGTGGACAGCAACAAATGTTAGAAAGACACCCGCCGGGCACAGTGGCTCACACCTGCAATCCCAGCACTTTGGAAGGCAGAGGCGAGAGGATTGCCTGAGCCCTGGGGTTCGAGACCAGCCTGGGCAGCTTGGTGAGACCTCATCTCTACAATAAACAACAACAAAAAAAGCCAGGTGTGGTGGGGCACGCCTGTAGTTCCAGCTACTTGGAAGACTGAGGCAGAAAGATCGCCTGAGCTCAGCAGGTTGAGGTTGCAGTGGCCGTGAGCATGCCACTGCACGCCAGCCTGGGCAACAGAGGGAGACTCCAACTCAAAAATAAAAAAAATTTAAAAAAGAAAATAAAGACACCTGAGAGAGAGATGCAAAGAGTGAACGGAAGGGGCAGCTGCACAAGCCAAGATACAGAAACCAAGGACAAACACCTGACAGGGAGAGAGGGGACCAGAGAGGACAGAGCAACAGAGAGAACAGGGAGTGACAGGAAACCCAGGCACAAGGCCAGGCCCGGAGAGCTGCGCAGGGCCCTGCGTGCATGGGGTGAGGGTGCTGGCTCAGCTGAGGGCCACCCCCCTTGGCCTTCTGGGAAACACTCCCACCCCTCCCCCAACTTACCATGGTGTCCTTCATCTGAGAAATCCAGGCAGGCAGGATGGAGAGACAGAGAGAAATACTGAAAGGCAGCCACAGCCAGTGGGGGGGGGGGGGGGC